ATTGTCATATGTGATCCACCTGTGTTTCTTCAATTATCCCTAGCATTTAAGCTCCTGTCTTTGCGTTTCTCCCCTGTCGGGTCTACTTCGTCTTTACATGTGTCAGCATCTCGTTCCTGTATTGGATTACCCCTGTGTTTCAATGATTAAAAGACTGTTGATTGTACTCCACGTTTCTCTCGTCCTTCCGACAGTGTAAGTGTGACACAAGACCCGACCTAGACAGTAACCTCCGATTGTCTACCCCCCGTTTTGTTTCCCCGTTTTCACCCAGTGTCTTTTTTTCCGTTGTGTGCCCTTATGGATCCTCTCGTCCGCCCAGAGTTCCTCCTTCTCCTGCTAGAGCAGGGGGAGCGATCTCTCGAGGACCATACTAGACTGTTCCAGCTGCTAGCTAACACCACCAGCAACCCGGACGACGCGCTCTGTGCATTCTATGACACAAGTGTAAACACTGCGTGCAGAGCGCCGTAGTCTGAAGATGGTCCTCGAGTGGATTTTGCTGCATTTGTGGAGTGGATTCTGGCGACAAACGGATCACCAGATCCACTCCTGAACCAGAGCCCAGCCCACCATCTCCCCCCGCTGTGTGGAACTAAAGCCCGAGCCCACCGATGATGGAGAGCCAATTCCCGCCGCGATCTACGACCCAGCGCAATGCCAAGCGACTGAGCGGAGGATCGCCCGGGAAGTAGAGCCCAAGCCGTCAGACCAGGTGCGTGAGCCGGCTGCAACGCCCATCGCGAGGGAGAAAGCCGTGGACGGTGAGAGCGCGGAGTGGAGCTCCACCCCCTGCACCGCGGCTGAGGGTGAGCTAATAATACATCTGGGGCTGCTGGACTTAGAATGGGATCTTACTGACTGGGAAACTGAGCTGGAAGCTGATTTGCCCCCTCTCTTCTCTCCTTCATCCCCGCTGGTCCCGTCCAGCCCTGAGGGGGCTCCCGTTTCCCAGTCCAGCCAGGAGGGGGCTCTGATCCCCGATGGCAGCCCTGAGAGCCCAGAGGCTCACGAATGCCCGGCCACCCGCCCGTTTCTGCCTCCTCCACTGCAATCGTCTGGCAGCCCCTTTGCTCGCCCTCAGCCCACCATCTATACGGTGCGAGCTCCACGGGTCTGCCAACCTCCAGCGTCGCCATGGCTGGAGAATCCTTCACCTCCACCTCCAGCCTCCGAGGCACGAACTCTACCTCGGCCCGTAGACCCAGCCGCTCCACCTCGGCTCCTAGCTCCCTCGCCTCCACAATCACCTGTCGATCCACCAGCTCCACCGGGCTCCCTTGTCCCTTTGGCTCCACATTGGTCGGAGCTTGGTCGTCAACCCACCATCGCCTCAGGAGTCCGCTCCTCCGGCTGCACCTCGTCGCTCCATCCCACCGGCTCCGTTGGGCTCCTTCCTCCCACCAGCTCCACCTTGGTCCTCAGTCACTTCCGGCTCTGCCGCGGATCTCCGGATCTCCGCCTTGGTCGCCAGAGCCCTCGGCTTCACCCTGGCCCCCCGGATCTTTGGCACCCCCCTGGCTCATTGGCTATCCGTCTCCGCCTCGGGCTCCTCCACCACCTGCTTCTCCGCCGCTGGTCGGGCCTCTGGAGTCGGCGGCCATTCCTCCTCCATGGCTCCTTCCTCCGTCGGCTCCACAGTGGGCCGTCATTATGACTGTGGGCTGGGTCCCACCTGGCTTCTCCTGTTCCAGCTCTCTCCTGTCGTCTCCCTGGCTCCTCCCTCCTTCGTTACCCCCATGGACTCTGTCTGCCGGCCCCCTCCCGGGTGTCCGTCCTCCTCTTGAGCCACCTCCCAAGTTCCCAACCCTTCTGGGAGGGGGCGTGATGTCAGGATTCTGGACTGTCTGTATCATGTTTTGCCCCTGTTTCTGTTCTTGTTACTGTGTGTGTATATATATATATATATATATATATACAGTATATATATATATATATATATATATATATATATATCCTGCAAACGTGTCCTTGCGGGGCCTATGCTGGTTTTTTGGAGGGACAGTGGGCTAGGGCCATCCCACACCAAACCTAAACAGGCCCAGTGCGGGTTTGCCCAGGCGAGGCCCACAGTTTTGGGCTCACTGCAGGCACTCTGTGAGCTGCCCACACTATGGGACTGCCCACATTAATCCCATGATGGTCCAGTGTGGGCCAGACATGAGCCTGTTAATAAGAAATTTGTTGGCAGTTTTCTTCCTTACCACTAGGGATGCTAGGGTGTGTTAGGTTTCCTTAAGTAAAGCCATGTGGTAGAGGGTGTTAGCAATAGCAAGCAGCAGTAGCCAGCTGCTGAACACATTGTGCTGTATCCTGGTTGGGAAATGTGTAATTTCAAGCCCAGTCTAAAGGACACCACATCATGGTCCAGTTTGAATATGGATTTAAAGTTCTTTTTGACATGGGACCATAGTCTGGACTATTGTTCCTGGTTACGAAGAGTCTGGTGTTTGAGAGCTGTGGCATGTTTTCATAACAAGAGGTTGGATTATTAATTTGCTATCAGTCAACTTCAGCTACGGACAGTGTTTGGAAATTGATGCACTACAGATAAGACTTTCGCACACATCAACTTTCACATGACGAAATCCTACAATTGTACATTGCTTTGTTTGCTTTTTTTTGTACTTTTGTGTATTTACATTTTTGGCTATATGTAGCTGTATTAACCTGAATTGAATGTTTTCTATTTTGTATTTAATAAATCTATTGATTTGAAATTACTACTGTACATTTTGACAATATAGACATCAGTTATGTGGTGACTGCATCCATTTCAGATGTATAATAACTGTTTTTCCCAAAGACTTAAGTTATAGTAGCTGAAAAGTATTTAAAGTGAAACAGATGTATTGTTATAGATCAGGGGTGCATCCTGTTCCTGGAGATCTACCTTCCTACAGAGTTCAGTTCCAACCCTGATTAAACAAACCTGTCTGTAATTATCAAATGCTCCTTCAGATCCTAATTAGTTGGTTCAGTTGTGTTTGGACCAGGACCAGGTTGGGCACCTCTGTTGCCAGGTTTTATATATATAGCTTTATGATATTTTGGCACAAAGTAATTATTCACTTCATAATATGGCTAAATGCTAATACTGAATTTAGCCCAATGTTTCTTCAATGCTTTAGGATGGCAAATGTTGATATCAATACCCTTAAAAATGGTGATAGGTCAGTTCATTAAAGTATACAAACACCTTAAAACATCTTAAGAACATGAAATTATTCTTCACACTTGCGAATTTCGCAAAGACTTTGCATCTTACAAGGAAACTGTATTTCTTATTTTAAACTTTTTCTTACAATTACTTTTATATTTTACTATGAAGTAGAATGGGTTTAGCATTGATCTGCTTAGATAATGTAGATTTTACAGAAATCGTAAAAATCTTCATCGTCCAAAAGAAAACACACACACGTAGACTCCGTTTAGCAAGTTTTCAAGTAAGATTGGGAGCCATTTTGGCTTGTTTCGTCTGTATTAGGCATCAGTCACGAAACAATTTATATCTGTATATAAATTGTTGCAATGTAACAACATACATAAAAATACAATATTTTATGCAGAACTGTATTAATTACTTGTCTTACAGAAACTGAATCTAATATGATCATTTAAGTAGAATTCAGTCCAAAAACATTAAAGTGTATCACTATTTTTAATCTGAGCCATTACTGATTGCATTAGTCCCACTCCGACAACAAGTTTACCTGTAGGTTGAGCCAATCTGTGATAAACTCGGACAGCTCTGGCACTTTCCAAAGTAGTAATGGTGTTTGTGTCACTGCTGTTAAAGCGATTTATCCTAAATATGTCCACCTTGCTCTCTCTGGAGGGTTCAGAGCATGTCGCAAACAGGTAATCTTCAAAGAGTGCAAATCCGTACAGGTGCGACACCTAGAAAGAGAAACACAGGGATGGGGAAAGAGAAAGACTCATCTAGAGGCCATGGCACCTCTTTGACTTAATTCTGAACACGACACAAATATGTCTGCTTAAATTTGCTTCTTTAATCCATCCAGCTATAGAGCCGATGTAACATTCGGTGAATAAACAGCAGCCCTGACAGACACCAGTTGAAATATGCAGGGATCTTTGATGTCACATCTGTGCTACAAATTACCGGCGGGTAGCGTCGAGGCTTTGATTTCAGGAAAAAAAAAAGGGAGAAAGACTGACTGTAAAAACAAATGAGTAAGAGGTAGCGGAGTTCATTTCAGGTTATCTTTCAGTGCCGGCTTTGAGAAAAATGCACCAATATAGCCTTCGATAGAGTCCCAGGGAATATGCTAGAGCTGAGCCTCACAGGAAATGGATGAACAAATCAATAAAAAAAGCACACAAAAGAGTTGTAGTGGGAAGCCAGGACTCTGCAAGGTCAAAACAACTCGATGCTCAACCAGGCTAACGGATCTGGCTGGGGACAATGAGAGGGTTTCAAAAGTGTCAAGGAAAACAAGTCCTAACGCTGCATACATGTGACAAATTTACATAAACGGCCACAGTTTGGGTGCATGCTCCCTGTGATTTCACAAGTAGGATGTTGATTCTGGAACTATTTTACTGACAAGAAAATCTTACTGGATTTGACACTGTTTACTAGGTTAGTAGCATACAATATTTAAAAGATTTACTTTGTGGTGACTACCATTCAAAAGTTTGGAGTTGATCAAATTTGTTTTTGAAAGAAGTCTCTTTATGTCCACTGCATTTATTTAATTAAAAATACAGTAAAACTGTAATATTGTGAAATATTATTACAATTTAAAACAGGTGTTTTCTATTTGAATATATTGTATTTCTGTGATGCAAAGCTGAATTTTCAGCATCATTGCTCCAGTCTTCAGTGTCACATGATCTTTAAGAAATCAAATCTGCTGACTTTTCCAGGCCCCAAAACACCCTCGGACCCCAGAGGGTTAAGAAACATTTTCTATTATTATCAATGTTGAAAGTAGTTGTGCTGCTTAATATATTTGTGGAATATTTTTATTTTTCATGATACATTAACTTTTTTTCAGATTTTTTAAAAAGGGATAGTTCACCCAAAAATGAAAATTGTGCCATACACGCACTCTCATGTCGTTCCAAACCCGTAAGACCTTTGTTCATCTTTGAAAGACAAATTAAGATATTTCTGATTAAATCTGAGAGCTTTCTGACTCTGCATAGACAGTAACAGAACTGAAACATTCCAGACCCAGAAAGGTAGTAAGGACATTGTTAAAATAGTCCATGTAATATCAGTGGTTCAATCTTTTTTTTTTTTTTTTTTATGAAGCCATGAGAATACGTTTTGTGAGCAAAGGAAAAAACACTGACTTCATTCATCGATTTTTTTCTCTTCTGTGTCAACCTGTCACCATTCATGAGAGTACCACAAAGCATGAAATAGAAATATTTTGTAACATTATAATAGTCTTTACTGTCACGACTGATGCATCCTTGTTGAATAAATGTATTAAAGGGGTCATACGATGCGATTTCAAGTTTTTCTTTCTCTTTGGAGTGTTACAAGCTCTTGGTGCATAAAGAAGATCTGTAAAGTTGCAAAGACTAAAGTCTCAAATCCAAAGAGATATTCTTTACAAAAGTTAAGAGTCAAACACGCCTACCTAAAACGCCTCATTCTAACACGCCCCCACATATCTACCTCACTATGTGGAAATATTAGCATAATGCCGCCCAAATGTACACGCAAAGAAAGAAGGCGTGGTTTCAGGAACAGCAGTAGTGTTGATGCAGCCATGTCAGGGAGACGCTGTGTATTTCAGTGCGAAAGCAAAAGCACTTTATTTGGCCTTCCTGAAGTAGATGCAATTAGGAATCATTGGTTAAGATTTATTTACAACAGAACAGCACAACACAGATGTTTGAATTTGTGCAACGCATTTTATGAACGACAGTTTTTTGAACCTAGAAGAGTAAAAGGCTGGCTGTGCACAAAGGCTATTTCTAAAAATAAAAAAGGGTCAATTCTGACTTTGCTATGACAATCTGGTGCTTCTGAATCAGCAACTGTGCGTATGTTTTGTTACTAGTTTAAGTATTTGCTATTTGTCTGTTCAAATGCGGAGTTTTGCGCAGTGCAGAGTAACGCGTCGTGTGTGTGTGTGTGTGAGGGGACCAGGGTCACATTACAGGAGAGTGAACTGCCTCTCAGAAATCATAGCACGTCAGCTGTCTTAACCGCGGCTTGGGTACTGCATCATCACTGTGTCTGTTCTGTTGCACTTTCGAGCTTGAACTGATGGTAAAACTAACGACATTATTAACTGTCTTGATATTTACTTTGAAAGCTGATGCTCGCGATTATGGTGAGGGGTGTTACATTTCCGACGCGTGCTTGTGGTGTTCGCCCAATCACAATGCACTGGGTCAGCAAAAAAAAAAAAATATATATATATATATATATATATATATATATATATATATATATATATATATATATATACACACACACAAATCATGTAAACCATGAACACCTGCACACAGGCACATTCCAAAAGGGATAGAAGGAATTTGTAAAACTCTTTTCTTAAATATCGCATCAGGGTATTAGTTAACACCAGATGTCTCATAAGGCTGATAAACAACTGCGGATTAATTATCTACTGTTTTTGAGAAAAATGCACAGGTCTGACAGTGCCCTTGGCCCGTACTATGAACTATGGATGAAATTTATACTGAATTTATGAAGCTATGAATTTTGCATCACCATACATTTGGGCCTGTTCAGGTAGTGAGGGAGAGAAGCCAAACTTTATAGCCTTCAAAATAAACTGCTTTAAGAGTTATTCAAAGGAGCATAATTTATCACAGCTTTGCTGACTATTAAGGCAGCTGGGTAAAATATACGCAATAACTTCTACTTTTAGATAGCTTAGATGAATAGAGGTCACCAATCTTTGCCGGTCTAGACTTTCATATGGTGGTCTGCACCAGCATAAACAAGATGTTCACCACCTACTGTAGTTGGGGATTCACATGCAAATGGCAACACATCTTGTGTTGTGTCGGAATATGCCTAATTCCATGCTATATGTTATGCGAAACTCAGCATACAAAAAGTTTAGTATGTCCGAATTATGTGAAAAACAGAATGCCAAAACAGTAGTATGTATGGCAATATTAACAGTAAGCCAATATTCATAGTTTGCGAAGAACAGTGTGCCATAAAAGCAGTGTTTGAATTCACAGTATTCAAAAGTAGTATGCCAAAAAAGTAGTTACCTAATTCATGTTATAAAAAAAGAAAGCCAAAAGAGAAAAATGTACGACAAAATTCATAGTTTTTGAAAAACAGTGTGCCAAAAAAGTAGTATGTCCAAATTCATAGTATTTGAAAAGAAAAGAAAAAATCATGCAAAGTAGGCTATAGTCCGAATTTACCTAGTACCCCAAAAGAGGAGCAAGTCCAAATTCATAGTATTCAAAAACATAGTACGCCAAAAAAGTAGTATGTCCAAATTCGTTACTTAAAAAAGTAAGACAAAAGAGTAGTATGTACGCCAATATTAACTGTATGCCAATAATCGTAGTTTTCCAAAAACAGTTTGCCAAAAAAGTAGTATGGCTGAATTCACAGTATTTGAAAAACAGTAAGGCGAGTACAGTAAGTCTGAATTCGCCTTGCACGCCAAAAGAAAATCATGTCTGAATTCATAGTAATCAAAAAATAGAATGCCAAAAAGAAGCATGGCCGAATTCATATTATTAAAACAAAAAGTAAGCCAAAAGAGTAGTATGCATGCCAATATTAACAGTATGCCAACGTTCATAGTTTTCAAAAAACAGTGGGCCAAAAAAGTAGTATGTTCAAAATGATAGTATTTGAAATAAGTATGCCACGTGTAGTATGTCAGAAATGTGAAAACTAATATTTAAAAAAATGTAGATGAAAATTACCCCGATGACCTACTACTTCTGCAGAGATTCTGGATTGCGCATTCAATGGACACTCTACTATTCAATGAAGCTATGGGAGAGGAGTAAATGGCAGTGAAGCGATGTAACTGGTAGGTCACTTGACGGTGACAACATGGCAGACATAGTATGTTCGAATTTCATTCATACTACCCGGTTTCAGACTAAGTACTTTTACATACTTCATACTTTTTCAAACCAAATGTAGTACCTACTACACAGGTATGTAATTTCGTAAGTAGCTTTGGTCTTTTTTCGCATGAAGATCATGGGTTCAAGAAGAAGAAACCGAGATTTAGCACATCTTACCGAGCTTCCTTGGATGATCGTGTGTCTGTTCTTGCCATTGTAATCCACAACTTCGATAAAATCCAGATAAGCGTCTGCCCAGTAGACGAGCTTCTTCACCAAGTCCAATGTCACGGCGGTCGGCTGTTCAGTTTTATACTCTACTATCCTGGTTCGGTTGGTGCCGTCCATATTGCAGCGTTCCACCTTGGCTACCGTCCCATAATCCGTGAAAAAGAGTTTGCTGGTGGGGGGGCAAGAACAGAGCAGTTTTAAACCGGAATCTACTATCTGATGTAAATGAAATAAAAAGTCAAGGCCATTTAAGATTTAATCGATCCACTCATACCCATTATTTTTCTATTCTGCTAAATATTGTGCCAGCGCTGAATGCTTGCAGTAACAACAGCGCAATTAAACCGAGGCACTGTGAGCAGGAGCTGAATGAATGGGCCGCAGTATGATATGTCTCTTTATACTAACACATACTGACAGCGGAATAAGAGAGGGGGAGGTCATCCGCATTACTCCGCACGAGGATTCTGGCACAGAAACGATCCTCGTCGTCGGAAAGCGAGTTTTTTGAACATTAAAGCATGTCAACGTATTCTGTTACACCAAATACACCAAATAATGATCTTTAAAATAGCATCATATGACCGCTTTAATAAAAAAAAAAAAGTTACTGACTCCGAACTTTAAAATGGTATACTCTACCCTTATTATATACCAAAGTACACAAATTTTTTTCAAAACGTTACAAAAATTTGGTTTGACTTGTTGATTTGCATAGTATCATAAACTTGAAATGTTATTTTGAGCTTAGAATAAGATGCGATGTGAATCAAAACTAACGTTTATCAATCAAAGGTTTCACAGTGAGAGACTAAATTGGGGGTTACGGATACAGTTGACAGGAAAGTTTTGTTTTACTAACAAAGATTGTTGAATTCACGTTCACCACTACTGCATTCAAATTCAAACCAACAAAGGAACTTTTGTCAGTAAAACCACTGTGAAAACTTTGAACACTTAAACAACTAGAGTTTGCTGGTGGGGGGGCAAGAACAGAGCAGTTTTAAACCGGAATCTACTATCTGATGTAAATGAAATAAAAAGTCAAGGCCATTTAAGATTTAATCGATCCACTCATACCCATTATTTTTCTATTCTGCTAAATATTGTGCCAGCGCTGAATGCTTGCAGTAACAACAGCGCAATTAAACCGAGGCACTGTGAGCAGGAGCTGAATGAATGGGCCGCAGTATGATATGTCTCTTTATACTAACACATACTGACAGCGGAATAAGAGAGGGGGAGGTCATCCGCATTACTCCGCACGAGGATTCTGGCACAGAAACGATCCTCGTCGTCGGAAAGCGACAAACTGGCCCCAACAGCATGCACAACTCAGCACTGCATACAAATGAATGTTTACCAAGAGACCAAAGAGTTTCTCACGTCACAGACGAATAGATGACTCGACATCAGATAAGGATGATTTATTCACTCCTATGAAAAATTCAAACAAGAGCCTCCTCTAGGACGCATGATAATTTTAAGATAGTACAAATAGCTGAATATCTTTGCATAGGTCAACAAATTATTTGAACTATTTGTTTGGAGAGGATTCTAAAAGGTCATTTTATTGACCTTTTATCAGTTCTTTAGACTTTAGTGACCATGTAATGAAAGTATGACAAAAAAATCTTTCACTGATGATTTTTTTAAACATGGAAGGTATTTATTTATTTATGTACTTACGTATATACTTATTTGTTTGTTTAATGTTTTAAGTAATAATAATAATAATAATAATAATAATAATAATATACTTACTTACTTACTTGAAATCGTATTTAATTAAATTATGTAACATTAAATTTAGATTTAATTACTTCAAATCAAAAGGTACTTTATCCCAGTATAATACTAATAATAATCATCATCAAACTATTTATTACTATTTCGTAAACAATTGATAATGATGACTATGATTATGATGATGATTAATATTAATACTTGTGATTTACTTTATTTAATTTATATTTCTAAATGGTGTAAACAACATTTAAATGAAATGACATAAAAGGTACTTTAGCATAATAATAATAATAATAATAATAATAATAATAATAAACATTGAAATATAAAAAAAAATTCAATGTAAATATTTATTAAATATATTATTATTAATAATAATAATAATAAGCATAACTATTTTACAGATTTTTTTCACATACTTTTGGAAGTAAACCAGTTTGTAGAGCTAATATCAGTAAAGATAATATTATAAAACGGATAGTTCAGACTCAAAATTCATACACATATCATTCTTTTTTTATTTCCATTTTGCCTTTTAGGCCTATTAGGATAAGATAGTGTAGAGTAGACAGGAAACAAGGTGGGAGAGAGAGGGAAGTGGGATCAGTATTCGAACTCGGGACGCCCACAACTCAACGGCGTTATATGTCAGTGCACTGCCCACTAGGCTATCGGCACCAACTACACATATCATTCATATAAGAACTGATGTGCAATCACAGCTATGACTTATTATTCGTAGCAGTAGTCACATTATTTAAATAGATTTTTTCCCCCAGATATATCTACCCCAGTTTTAACAACAAAAACTCATTGCTACCATATCATACAAATGAAAGGACCTAATGATTGTGTTAGCAAGTGTACCCCATGATGGGATCCAGCGCTAGGCATTTAGGGTTCTGGATGTCCAGGTCGATGATGGTGACACATGCATCTCCCTGTTCGCTGCACACGAATATCCGGTCATTCACTCTGTCTACGAAGTAGAAGTTTCCTGTCAACCAGTCGATGGCCATATGCTCCACATCTACATGGAAGAAACCATTCAATTTTAAACATGGGACATAAGAGTTTGTAAATTGGGATCTGGTAGTTAGAAACAATTAATAATTCATGCATGCTTCAAAGAAGCAACAACTGACATTCACCAACTTGACATGCACACTTGACTCATTTAACCTTGTGACATTAAACACTTCATTAGCAGATTATTAAACACTTCAAGAGGTAAAATAAGTGAAAAAATAGACTAATGAGACAATTTATATGGACATTAAACACAACACTCAAGTTCATAAAAACTTCAAAGGACATTAGTTTGCACTTGCTCTGAATTAATCATCAAAGTTACGAAACATTCCTTAATTTGCGCTTCGAGACTTGACGTGCATACTTACTTTGTAGGTTCTGACCTATCCGTATCTGGTGTTTTTCTGAAAAGCCTTTGAGTTTGGTCATGCGGGCACACCACAGCTGACCTGTATCCTGGGCCACTGAGAGCCAACAGAGTGACTCTTCTCTATAAATAAAGTCCAATATTTGAGTCCCATTTGTCTCCATGGACTTGAGATTTGGCATAGATGATCCATTGAGGTAAACAACTGATATAGAATTCATATTTGTTGTCAACAGAACCGGAGGTTTATCACCAGGATCTGAAAGAGGGAGCACAAAATGCATAGCGGTCATTAGAGCTATTTATAATAAATGATTTACATTAAACAAAATGTTCATGTTGGGAAATTTTGGTACTGTAGACATTTCAATAATAAACCTTGAAATAAAATAAATTACAAAATTAAGTTATTTTTGTCTGAACCAACAAATGTAATTTCCGTAAAAAAAAAAAAACTAAAAAAAAAACGAATAAATAAATTGCCATAAAAAAGAAATATTGACATATGAATTAATCATATATACACACACATTCACATATATACAAATACACTAATTGTATTTTAGAAATATTAATAAAATGTATAATTTAACACAATAAATAATACACACATCTATCTTTCTATCTTTCTATCTATCTATCTATCTATCTATCTATTGAAAGAAAGAAAGAAAGAAAGAAAGAAAGAAAGAAAGAAAGAAAGAAAGAAAGAAAGAAAAAGAAAGAAAGAAAGAAAGAACTAATGGTTAGTAAAAAGCTAGTTATCACAAAAACCTGCACCTGGAACATAAAAATGCTTGTAGTTGAAGAAACACCAATATACAATATGAATATGTATGTGTTACATGAACATAGAGTATATAAATATTTACTTATATATTTGCTTACTTATATAGAAATTAAAACAGGTTCATTAAGAAGCTCACACTACTGGAAAATAGTCTAATTGCTGCGACACGTATTATGCACACGTAAACTTTGTGATTGGCTTGTGTTTTTTTTTTCTCACTAATAAACAGACACCATGAAGTGCAATTAACTCGGAGCGTGTAATCATCTCTAAATTTGATAGACAGTCGCAGGTCGGGCTGGATGGGCTCTGATTGACTTTCCATTAAGGCCTCCCCTGTTTATCTCTCCCACGGCTCTGTCATAGCCCAGCTCGCCGGCGGCCATTTGCATATCGATGACAGTAAGTGTAACTGACACTCGCATCAAGAGAATGACAGTGTCATCTATACTAACGCACTCGGATGATCGCTACTGTGACCGCGCTACTCCACTGAGGTTTTCTTGTTCAATCAAACATTCCAGAGGGCATTGTGTTTACCCATCTAGTCCAGACTTGTTCTTAGGATGTTAAAGACGACTATAATTTAAATGCTGATTGAAATGTCAAGTGTGGAGTTTGTTGACCTTTCCTTGTTTTCAGTATTGCACACTTATTTTCTAGTGGTTCTTGCTAAGAGACAATTATCTATAGTAAATGTTAATATTATGTTCAACAACCCTATAACAACTTACAACCACACATAAATATGTAAAAAAAAACAGAACCCTTTGGCAGCAGGCTAGCAACAACCAAGAATCCTAACAATCAAGGCAAGGCAGAACCCCCAGCAAACACATACTAAAGTGTAACCTTCAACAACCACATACTGTAGAAATTCATTAACCCCCCCCCCCCCCCCCCCCCACACACACACACACACACACACCTCCAAAAACTATTTAGCAACAGCCTAGCAACTACCCAGAACCTCCAACAACCACATATTGTAAAAATGTGCTACCCTTAAGAAATTCTTAGCAACTGGCTAACAACTACTCAAAATGTCCTTGAAGTCACATAGGATATGTTAAAACCCTCAGAACCTTTAATAACAGTCTAGCAACTTCCCAGAATCCCCAGCAACCACATTCTGTAGCAGTGTGCTAAAATTTCCCTCAGAACTCCTTAACAACCAGCAACTTCCCAAAACACCCCATAGCAATGCATTAAAAACCACTCAGAATCCCTTAGCATTAGGCTAGCAATTACCAAGAACCCCAGCAAAAAACATAAGCTATGTGTGAAAAAACCCTCAGAACTTTTTAGCAAATAGCTAACAACTACTCAGAACACTCTCGAAACCACTTAGTGATGTTCTAAAAACCATCACTTAGCAACAGGCTAGCACCTACACAGAACCTCTACGACCACATACTGTAGCAATGCGCTAAAGCTACCCAAAATTACCAATACGTCATATAGAAATGTGCTAAAAACCCAGCAGAACCTTTAGGAACTGACGAGCAACTATCCAGAATACTAGCAAATCACATAACAATGAGCTAAAAATCTTTCAGAACCCCTTGGCAGCCGGCTAACAATTACCCAGAATCCCCTGCAACTATACTGTAGCAATGTGTCAAAAGCCCATCAGAATGCCCTAGCAACTTCACAGTACACCCTTTAAACAACAGAGCAATGTGTTAAAAACCATTCTAAACTATACAATAAACAAGCTAGCTGTTGAACACTGTTGCAACCACATAGCAATGCGCTAAAAACACTCAAAACCCCTAAATGAATGTCTTAGCACCTACCCCCAAAAAAACCCTTAGCAACAACCTAGCAAACCCTAAAACCCAATCAGCACCCCCCTAGCACTAACAATGTGCAAAAAAAATCAGTTTATTGTCAGAGTTTATTACTCTCTTACAGATTTAGACCAGTCGTCCATCTCTCCAGCACTTAGTACATTAACTTGAGATAATATTTGATTTATGCATGGGTTTAATTATTTTTAGACTTGTGCTTTTAAAGCACCGTTGAAGATCAAAGTAAAATACTTTTAATAATGTTGCTTAATACGTTTTTTTTTTTTTTTTTGACTGGAACTGGAACTAACACGGATGATAAATGGACTCACCTGTTTTGGCTTTGCAGGATCGTCTGTTGGCCTGCAGGCTGAAGCCATCTGTGCAAGCGCATCTGTACGATCCCTGTGTGTTCGTACAGATTTGACTGCATGTCCCATAATCCCTGCATTCATCATGATCTGTAGGCAACAGCGGGGCTATTTATTAAATGCTAAATGTGCTCAAACATGGCCTAAATATGCAAACCCAACTCTTAATGTCACCATTTCGCAGCAACCTATCAAGAAACATGAATATGCAAATGCATGTTTGGGGAGGGAAGGGTGAGTAAATTGCTGTTTTGGTTAACATAACCATAATTTATCATGAAATCAACAACGATTTCTCTGAGGTTCGAGTTCATGCACTGGACAGCTAGCTTTTCTAGAGAACTCAAAATAATATCAGCTGAGGCAACTTTTTATGAACTTACTGTCGCCTACTAGCTTAGCATAGCTCAAACTAGTTAAGAAAAACTCTTGGTTAACAAGATATCACAAACATGCTTCTGAGACTAATTTCTATGGGTAATCTATTCAGTATCTGATTAGGAATGATAGAAAATCAATTTAAAACATTTTCTTAATCACAAAAATATGTTAATTACACTTTTCAATGTACACATCACATTACCAAAGCTAAATATAGTCAAATGAAAACATTGTCAGGTAGCTAACAGTTTAGCCTACTAGCTTAGCATAGCTCGCACCTTTCATCAGGCACTGAGTATAGGGATATGATCTTACACCAATATTTGCTTTTTTCCATAGGAGCTCATAGAAAGATTTCATTCTGGAAAGCATTTTATTGGACTTTTTTTCCCTTTATTACTTGTAATAAGTCAAAACTGTTTCTAAGGTGCTACAGTTCAATTCAGTGACATTTCTAATGAGTCCAATTCTTCAAACAGAGTTCAAATGTTAACGACCCTCACCTCGACACCGCCTCCCGTCCTCATCCAGTTCGAAACCTTCCCCACAGAAACAGGACGTCCCGTTTCTCATGATCACACAGTCAAACTGACATCTTCGCTCCTTGCAGCTATCCACCAACTCTGAGAAGACACAAACACACATTTAAACTTTGATTCACAGTCTTAATATCACGCACAGAGTTTGCCCTCCCAATGAACATGCATTTACACTCGACAAAACCCTCCATAAAAGCACAATGCCATTTCGCCAGTATGAAATCATTTTTTAAAAGTCGAACAGATGCAGCCTCATTACGAGACCATGATTCAGCGCTTTTTAAGTGGCACTTAAGGCCTGTTTCCGTGGATGCAATTCTTCCCGCGAGCTCCCACTCCAAATCGCTGTCAATACACAACAGTGGAGTACAAATTTAAGGCCCATTGTGTGATATTTATCACCTGTACAGCCTCATAATGAGGGACGTTTTGACGACCACATTCTCCTGGATTGCTCGCCAAATGAAGATGGCCCCGTCTTTATATACTGATCCCAGAATAGGTTGAAAAATAGCAGTGATTTCTAAAAGCTTGGGTGGCAGTCTGTTTCAATTACAATAGCCATAGCCCATATTTGATGTTTGTATTCATCTTGGCGTGTGGCTAACAGGTCACCTTGCTTTTCTTCGTCATTTGTGACGGTTTTAAGTGCGTGACAATACTGTAAAGAGTGAGAAAGAGAAAGATTGCAGACGGTTTAGCCATCTAATCGTCAGCGAGAGAGATTTTTAGCGTGCATTTGCTACGAAGCCCACATTAATAATAAGCATTGCACTGAGAAATTCATCGACCCACCCGAGGCATGCGTTCAGAATGGCTGGAGTCTGACAGTTTTAAATTAAGTACTTCTTTAAAAATGTATCACAGCGTTTAAGGGTAATGCAAAGCGTTTTACAATATGAGCTTAACTGAATGTGAAATATAATGGCTTTTTATCTATTACAGGGAATGTGTATCCACTTGAGCTGAAAGATGTTTAACTATTTATATGTGGGACTAGCGATGGAAAGCGACTAACAGTTCTTGAAATATTTCATAATCTCGGCTATAAAGGATTCTTTATTTATTTATGCAGATAGGGAATCTGAGCCACTACATCTGTAGTTTTCTTCTTTCACATAACAATAACTGGGAGCAACAAGAGCAGAAGTAACATATTTTGGGTTTCACATAAGAAAAAAAACATTTGATATGAAAAACAAGATTGAGAGTAAATAATGACAAATCATTCATTTTGGGGGTGAACTAACCCTTTATGACTAACCCTTGACTTGACTAGTTGTGATCAGTACGACATTTGACAAAACAATAATTACACTAAATACAACCCAAGACAGTTACACCTCACTGAAAAAAACAACATGAACTTAAAATGAATAATGGACTTCATATGCATTAGATTTGTGTCAAAAATATGGCGGAATATATGACGAGGAGGAAGCTGGCCTAACCAATAGTCAAATTTTGCAACAGCACGCCAAACTGAGACATATAAATGACATAAAACCTCAGAAATTAAACTGACATGATTTAGCGGCAACAAAAAGTGCAAATAAAGCCTTTAGCAGTGTAAAAGAAAAGCGGTTACTGAAATCGTAAATTTTGATCTGCAAAAAGCAAGCAAAGAAAACTGCTAATAAAAGACAATCGACTTTTTTATATTGCGTCCAATTTTTTTTGACACTTATCTAACCACACAGAGTTTGACTTTCCTGATATTATTTCTAAAGGACCTTTTGATAACCCTATAAAAATGTAAATGTCAGTATTTGCCCATTAGGTATAAAAAAAAACAGAAACATCGCAGAAATCAAGGAAAAAGTAAGTGAAACTCCATATATTTAAAAAGGCAGCTGACTTAAAATGTTACATTGAAATGAGTGAAAAGTTACCAGCATTGATCCAGGAGGAGGAAACTAGACCTCTCCGATTCAAAACAGCAGGTGGGAGAGTTGATTATCAGATAAGAATTACTCTTTGGAGAAATATTATGCTTATGCTAGGAACCCAAAACTTCAAATGTAACTTCAAAAATAGGTCAAAATCATTGTTTACACTGCGAGTGGTGTTGAATGAGTGCAGCTACTGTAGAACACTCGCTGCCACCCGGATTCACACTAATCTCCTCCGAGTGGGAAGGAGGCCATTATGGGTGGACTCTCGCTGTGAGTCAGGCTCCCGCACAACAGGATTTATCTCCAGTGAACTCCAGAGCTCTCCCTCAAGGTGATTTTCTCTCAGTGAGGGGCCCTACTTCCTCTGACACTCGCTGGGTGATGTAGTGCTAACGGCAGCAGTCCAGGAAGGGTGCTGAAACTGACAGGGGCGTTAAGGTAAATGCCTACAGATCTATTTCTCTACCCCAACCCAAAGAGCTTGAACTTTAGCTGCTGTGAACAATCAATCACTCTCAGGAGTCCCGTACCACATTAAAAATTGAAGCCTGGGACCTTGAAAATCTATACAGACTTAAATGCCACAAGTTTTTTCAGACCACCTTTAAGCTTGACACATTCAAAAGATCCAATGAAATGGCTTACAAATGCTATTCATATTTTATACTGAAATACAAATTTGGACTGGTACATATTGAAGAGTTTTTTATGGTCAATAGAGACTTGCAATGTTTTCTAAAAGAAAGAAAAAAGGGGGAAAAAAAGTAAAGCAAAGCAAAACAAAACAGCAACAACAACAAAAAAACACAAAATAAAACAAAGCAAAAAGAACAGAAAAATCACAAAATGCAAAACAAAACATTAAAAGACATGTCCTTTTTTAAATGGCCAATAAAAACTTGCAATGCTTTCCAAAAAGAAAAGAAAAGAAAAGAAAAATGAAACAAAGCAAAACACAAAACAGAGCAACATGAAACAAAGCAAAACAACACAACATGAAACAAAGCAAAACAAAAAGCAAAACAACACAACATGAAACAAAGCGAAAAACAAAAGAAAAAGCAAAACAAAGCAACATGAAAAAAGCAAAACAAAACAAAACACTGAAGGGCTTGTCTTTTAAAAATGGCCAATAGAAACCTGTAATGTTCTCTATAAAATAAAATAAACTAAACAAAATAGGTGAAGTAATTAGAAGGTACATGAACATGAATATCAGTCAAATGGAGAGCAACACAGAAGATGTGCCCAAACATTTATAAAACCAATGTTTGTTGTTGGACATCAAATTTTTTATTTTAAATCACATACTTAATAGAAAACCTTTGACATCACCTTCACCTGACTTTAGCATATTCCTCAACCGTCTAAACAGACCAATCAAAAAGCTGCATCATAAGCCCCGCCTCCTTCCCTGCAGGAATCACCAGTCCAGAGAACATGGCACATGTCTGGACAGGTCTATTATTCACTCACAGCAGGTCTTCCCCTCAGTCTCCATCATTAGAGCAGCCACCGTCCCCAGGGCTCAGACAGCTAGACCATCACTGCAGCGGAATGAGCGTGTGCTTGAGTATTTTTTTGTTTGTGCGATCAGAGCAGGTGACCAGGGGGTCTGCACCTACCAGGCAGTGTTTATAAATAGATGACAGTTGAGTAAAAACATGGTTTGCTAAAAGAAGAAAGGACGGAGGTTGGAAGCAGAAAGGAAGTTGACTTTCTAAAGAAAATGCACAAAATTCACAAACACAATGGCCACATACACACTGCAGCTAAATTCAGTTGTTATTTAAAATTTTAGTGCTTAATCCTGTTCTGTACACAAACAGTTCAGTAATTTATGGAAGTAACAAATGCATTCTACAACCGAATTGACTAAAAATTTAGGTAGTGTCAACTGCATTTGCAGAAATTCCATGCAGTGTGTGCAGAACCGAACTGAACCACTTGTTGTTAATGACGCATTTAAACACTTGTCAGAGTTGTGTCTTTTCTTCTGTATGTATAGTGCAAGAAATCACAGTGTACGGTTTGACTTAGTGTTGTCAGATCGTCCTAGAAAAAAAAAGAAGTCCATAACAAACTCAAATCCAAATCTTAGCAATAAGCCACATACCATAATATAGCAACCTGCACCTGCCTACATTCTTAATTCCATAAATTAAAACGCTTTATGAGCCAAGCTCAAACAACAATCCCAAAGACACTTAATAAGAATTGCTTATAATAAGTGGACATGGCAATCCTTCAAGCTCGGCAAAGTAGCCAGAAATGTTCTGTTTTCAGTAGTTTAGTTACTCACATAACTCACTGACACAATGCTAGAATGTTTTGAGATGTTTTAGCATTGTTCGATAGGTGTTTTCTTACTAGCCCATGTTGAGTAAAAACATGTTTTGTTAGAACAGAAGGAACCCCTGAACGAAGAACGAAGAAAATGCACAACTCACAACATGATGCTAGCATATCTGAACTGTTTTTAGCATATTGCTATGTGCTTGCTAAGGTATTCTGAGTGGTTGGTAGGTGGTGGAAATTGAAATGAAAAGCTGGTATGTTTTCACAGTTACAGCAAAAAGTAATATTGCATAACTTCACAAACGCCGGCACCTCTAACTAGAGAAACCGAGGGGCGGTGCATGTGAGACATCTGAGGTGTAACTGTGAAACAGAGCTGGTTTATTTTGCCCCTTCATCAACACTTCAGAATCGACTGCCAGCATTGGAAGAGGATTCAGATAAACTCCAGATAAACCGGTGCAAATGAACAGGTTGGTTCAATGGCCTGTGCTCAACGACTAAATCTATATTTAACCAGATTGATGTGGCCGTAAAGGCTCTGCACTTGGAAGCTCGTCTAAATCCTAGTCAAGCTACCAAAGGACATCAACTTGGCACATGAAACTGCCCTTCCTGTGACCACTGCAGTTTTGCCCCTGGGTAAAGCACTTAACCCTCAGCTGCTCCCATCATACTGTAATATGCCTGCATTTTCAGCACTCGAGCGAACACTAGCAGTCTCACTATGAATAAATGTTGAATTTATTTGATGAATTCTAACATTTGCAGCTGTTAGCTGACGACTGTCAAATTCCTGTGCAGCTACTGTACAAAATTTAATTGCTAAGCAATTAAATACATAGAAAGGAAGTAAACAAGTCATTCTGTATTACTGTTAATATTATCACT